ATGAGCATTTAAAGCTCTTTGGAAACGTACACACACACACACACACACACACACACACACAAATGGTTACTATTGACATCAATATACTTCCATTTATTCAAATTAAATTAGTTATGGGAATCCTCTCCTTTTCTTTTTTTTTTCCCCCCACACAAATGGTTACTATTGACATCAATATTCTTCCATTTATTCAAATTAAATTAGTTATGGGAATCCTCTCCTTTTCTTTTTTTTTTCCCCCTTTAAATTAAATAATTAATACATAAATATAGTTCCATAGTACAAGACTTCAATAACACAGAGATATGAAATGTAAAAGGCATAAATCCCATTTACTCTTCCATGATTTCACACTAGTCTGAGTATCCTAAGTCCATCTCACAGGAAATTTTCTGTAAATTTACACACACACATATATACAGTTTTTTGTTTTTAACATAAACGGTATCATATTCTAAATAGCGTGACTTTATTTTCTCAGGTTCATCTCTCTTAGACATACCTGATTGTTGATTTTGTACATATATAAACATATATCTGTATCTATCATATTCTTTTGAAATGCTTTGTAATATTCCACAAAATGAATGAATCATACAATAGAACTGGTTCCCAGAACAGTCCTCTGCTAAGTGTGTTTCAAGCTGCAGTTTTCTCCATCCATCCAATTCCACTGTTTTCCATCTTTCAAATTTTCTGATCTACTTATGGCAATTTTTCTCTCATTTTCCCTCACTAGTACATTTTAAAATGTACATTTGATATTACTTCAAGTAATCTACGATAAGTAGAAAGATAGAAAAATGTACTCAGTCAATTGCTTTGATTCAATTTCTGAAAACACAGCATGAGATTAAAACAGTCCTAATAGGTGACCACCCGTGTATACCACAACTGGAAAGAACTAGCATCTGGTAGATGTCTTTCTTCTGAATTGCACCACAGGGACACTACACTGGCTTGCACTGGTAGAACTCCGCCTGCTTTTATAACCAAAGTCTGTTCTGACTGGTTAGCATCCACACCATATCAATTGTTACATATTTTAAATATCATTCCTGAAGTACAAGGGTACTTCAAAAAGTTTATGGAAAAATAAAATTGAAAGATAATACAAATCTTTCCATAAACTTTTTGAAGTACCCTCCTATAGTAATATAGTCATAATTTATTATTAACATGTGTCCTCATCCTAGTTAATGGATAGTAGGAGTTTATTTTGGGTATTAAGTGCCACCAAACAAGAGAACAGAGATAGAATCCAACCCCCTTGTTTCCTAAGTCCATCTGCCAGTGACTACAATGTCTTGTCTATCACTATATCCTCAATGCCTGGAACAGTACCTGGCCCCTAATAGAGACTTAAAAACCACCACTCAATAAATAAACACAATGGCATAAATGTGTGGCCTCTATTTTCTCACTTGTAAAATGAGTTAGATCAGATCCCTAGTCACTCAAGACTGAAGATTTTATAATTCAATTTATAAATTCAATAAATAGAGTTTTGATATATTATTAAATCTACCAAGCAAAATGAAAACAATCATAGCCTTTATATCCAGATATTCTTTCAGACTGTTCAGTCATACATTCACTTCTAAAGAATGATAAATCATCAAAAATGAAGAGAATGACAAAAACTTGTTTTAAACTACTTTATTTTTCATAATTTTCTAACACATGGTGTTAGAAAAATGAATTTTGGCACCAAGATTAAGAACTTCTTTTCAAGTTTAATCTTTAAATTAAAAATTGTAGCTATAATAAGAATATTTAAACATTACTCAGAGAAACGGTGAAAAATCAAGTCAACAACTTTGGGAATTTTTAAAAAGCAGGATAGAGGGAATTAACAAAGACACTAGGAAGAATAACATGGAGATTACGACAAGAATAGAAAAAATAACTCCCCCAGGTAAGAATAAGGAGAGAGACAAAGGGCACAGGGAAGAAGGAAGGCTCAACTACTTTCTTTTCCTGATACAAAATTCAAGTACTTAAAAGATTTTTAAAGATCATAAGATGCACTACTATTCTCAATGATTTTTTTCTTTTTCCTCACTATTTTCTAAAATTAAAAAAAATGAAATAAAGCAAAACCTGTTTTGACTTAAGGGCACCTGCTAATCTTAAACTGATACCTGATATAGCAGTAGATATGGAAAGGCCTGTGAGCTTTCCTCAATCTAATACCAACTTGATATAATCCACTGTGGGAGACTCATCTGAAGGAACAAAGGGTTTAATTTCTATTACAAACATAAAATAACCTGTCTCATAATCTAAACCAAATTGTCTTCAACTGGATATGCTCCTCAGTTGTGTTTTGTACTAAGTTTCTTGAGGAAAAACATTGTGTAGTATTTTCTTCGTGTTCCCTTAGTAACTACTATAAAAAGGCCCTACATAGGTGGTCAAAAAAGTTCTTACACAATTACATACAAACTCAGTTAGAATCAGATTTCCAAGGTCTCAAAACCTGATGATTTTCATTTACATCCATTTTTCCTACATTTCCAGTACATATTGATAAATAAAATTCTTCCTGGGCTTTTCTTAAATAAGAAAATATTATTAGTCTTATTTGTCCCTTGTACATTTGTACCTGAATATTTTATCAACTTGAAAGACAAATTCAGAAAATTGTCATTATTCTCAAAGACAATAAAGCATAGAAATAAATATTTTCTTTTACTTTTTTTCCTTTTTCTTCTTCAACCTGTTTTTTAAGGCTCAGAGCAGACATTAAGAAACATCAAACAATTTTTTATAAAAAGTTTTTCAAATGTTTGGCCCAAAGTGAAGTTGTTCTGTTGAAGTTATTTAAATATTCCTCTCATCTTCTCAAGCACAACTTCAAAGATATGATCATGCCAATCATCCATTCCACAAGAAAATTCAATTCAATGAAAAGTAAATAACTTAGGGATCTATAAACGACACTGCAATGTATCTCGTTCCATTTTTAACAGGAAGTCCTTCATGCAAATGTGTGAGTCTCCCAGGGTGCATGAAGCTCCAGCCTTTTCGTGGTGATTCAATAGAGCAATTGTACCTTAGAAATTTGCATCCACCTCCCTAAAAAAGTTAAAACAAATAAATGTTTCAGTTTATTATTTTTAATCAGTGGCAAAATTCAAATCATGTCATCTAAGCAGAATCTAAAAAAGAAACTAAGACAAAGGCCCTTTCTATAAATTACGCATTTCTTCTGAAAAACTAGAACAATAAGACACATAATTACCTGAAAATCTTCTCCCACATTATTAAGTGCAATGTTGATAGTAAATGTGGAAGCATCGTGATGAGGGCGAAGAGAACGCTGTCTATCAGGGGAGTATTTTACTACAAAATTCAGTAGGGCAAACCCCTAAAAAAGCAAAGTAAACAAGTGGATTTGTTTGTCAATAAAAACATAAAAAAGCACATTTGTGTAAAAATTGGTAAGGAGTATACAGGAAGGGGTGGGAGGATAACTACCTTTGTATAATAGCCTGCAAAGACCTTCAGTGTAACTGGTGCAATAAATTCCCGGATAAAATGAAGCCATACATTCTCCAGATCAATTTGCTTCATGTGAATATCATCAGTTGGGACATTTTCATAACCACCAGATATGCGGCTATCCTAGAAACAGCATTAATGACATAATATCGTGTAGTCCATGTGCAATTCACATTTATATTACCTTGGTATTTTTTTCAACCACAGATCACATTGGGCAATAAAAATAACAATTGTTCAATTATGATGTACCATCTACTTTATTTGTAAAACTATCAAAATAACTTAGATAACAAGGCTTTGCAAATGTATCAATGAGGAAGCAAACTACTGCCGAGTAGTAGACTCCTTTCCTATTTATTAAATGTGAATATGAGGTTTAGCTATCAAGTAAGTAAAACGGACTTCCTAAGATCTCACATTCCCCCCCAAAAGTGTTCCTTTAGTTTTACACAGACCCTTCAAGCAGTCTGAGCTGCTTGGTTAGCACAGATTACACGTACCTGCTCTCTGGGTTGCCAACCACTGAAGACAACCTTTCCCTGCTGTGTTCCTCACTTCTATTTCATGACACCCAAAGTCTTTCAGTGACTGTTTTCATTATCCCACAACCTACTGACTTCAAGTCCTTCCTTATACTTTGAACTTCCCTCTCCCTGATCAGCTAACTACATGCAGGACATGATCGAGCAGAGGCAGTAATTTTTCAAAGTATTCCACTAAAATTCCTTGGTATCATTAAGGAAATGGCATCTGTGAGTTCTCAGAGGAAAAGAAACACATTGAACCATCAAAAGTAAACACAAAACTGAATTATACCAAAGGTGCTCAAAAAGATTCCTCCTTCTCATGTTTACACAAACAAAAATACTTTATAAAGTATTTTTAAATACTTTATAAAGCGTCTTACTGAGTATTTTCATTACAGCTCACTGTGGAAGATGCAGGGAATAAAAAGTGACTTTGAAGAAGAGAGATATCACTCAGTAAAGACATGTATCACCTAACCACCTCCGGCATCAGGACACTGACTCTTAGGGACCATCTGGTATAAAAACATGCATTAAAAAAGAGCAGGGTGGGGCCGGCCCGGTGGCGCGCTGCTACAGTGCGCCGCTTGGGAGCGCAGCGGCGCTCCAGCCGAGGGTTCAGATCCCACATACAGACCAGCCGCTCACTGGCTGAGCGA